GGCCTGGCAGTTAGAGGGGATTACGGCGCTGGGGATGATGGTGAGAGAGGTTACTTCTTCGCAAATGAATCCCAGGCGAATGCTGTAAGTTAATTTTCTCTCTCTGACCCTTTCTCCCGTTTACCTAATCTTCCCACTTGGTGAGAGAAGACAGTCCCCACTCATTAAGGGGAGGGGAAGAAGGCCTCCCCAGGCACCAGGCACCGTCAGGCTGGGGTAGGAGAAGAGAAGACGCCGCTGGGAGGTAGGAGGATGGGGGAGCTTGTCGCCCCCAGACTAGCCCTCTCCTCCCTGCCCTTGTTCCCTCCAGTTGTGAGTCAACTGGGGTAAAGAGAGGCCTGGGCTCTTTAGAGCTTTGCCAGGTCTCCCTGACCCCCTCTCCCTCCTCAGTTGGGAAGAAAGACAGGGGCCACATATGGGTGTTTGGTGGGTGTTTGCAGGAGTGTGTGAACCGCAAGCGCAAAATGCCTCTGGTCCAGGGAAGGGCCAGTCCGGCCCTTGGCCAGTGACCCAGAGTCCAGGCAGGGTGGGCAGCTGGGGAAGGAGGGCTTTGGGACTTCTGAACCCACAGGCTTTGAGCTGTAATGGCAGAAGCATCTTAAAAGTGGCCAACTGAACCCCAGGGGTCCTAACGCATCCCCTCCTTCTTCACCAGTAGGCCTGGGTGGGCAGCTGTCTCAACCTCAGTGGTCTGGGGCTCTAGTCTGTCTGGGGCCAGTGTGGTTTCATGCCTCCTCCCCCTCTAGCTGCTGGGGTCTTTCCTGGCATCCCTAGCCCTTGCCAACGGTAAAACCAGGCCTGGGAGGCCTAGAGGTTACTCCTATGAGTGGAGTGTAAGTGGGTGGGCGAATGGAGGCAACTGTCTTTATTAGGCTGGACAGGCCTCAGCCCTCAGGAGGGAGTGGGTTCTGGCGGATGGAGCCACCAGGGCCCAGTGTGGGCATGGCACCCTGGGGCCAACCTCAGGCTGGGGCTCCCTTCAGATTTCTGGGAAGGAGCAGCACCGGCGGGAAGCCTGGGAGGCACGTGTCCTCCACACCTGTGAGTGGTACCCCACCCTGCGGGTCACCCAGAGCTAAGCCAGGAAAGCGACAACATGCGAACTCAGGCTCCTTGAAGGGGCCCACCAGCATCTCGAGGGATTCCGAAGCAGGGGGAAGGCGGTCCCAATGAGGGCAGCTTGGGCAAGAGGAGGGGAGGAGCGGGTGAGCCAGGTCTATGCCTTTCCAGAATAGTGGGGACTGCCTTGGAGCACGAGGGGGACTAGGCACCCGCGTTGTGAAGAGGTGCATTTGGGGAATTGGGAGAGAAGCTGCTAGCTCACCCCTACCGCCCTGGAGACTGAGGAAGAAGCAGGGATCAGCACCGACAGGGAGCCCGGGCAGACTCTGGAAGGGGGAAAGGGGAAGGGGGACAGAGACCCAAATACACCGTCTGAGCTGGAGCCCCAGCCCCCACCCTGGCAGTCGGTGGTCTGTGTGAGGACAGCGAGCGCCGGGACTGGGGAAATCCTGCGCCTCCCCTGGGTTTCTCGCTTAGCCTCCGCCTCCCCACCCTCCTCTCTAGTCCTTTATTTCCTGGGGGGCGGGGGCGTTCGGATCCCCGAGGATTCTCACATTTGGAAAGTGAGCTCTCAGGTTCTCCCTTCCTCATGTCTGGCCCTCCTCGACTCTCCCCTCCCCACGTCTGTGCTTTTGAGGGTTTCTGAAAACTTTCCATCCAGGCAGTGAGAGATGGGAGTTTCCCTTGGTCTATAATTGTTCCCCTCGATCCGGCCTCCTCAAAGCTTTAGGGAGCGAGTCTCATGGTCTGTAACCAAGACTTCAGCCAGGGCCAAGACCCCACCCTGGCACGACTCTCAGCCTTCCCAGACTCCTGACCGAACCTCTTCCCATTCCCTCCGCTCCGTGTGG